GTCCAAGTGATCCATTACCGTTTTAATGTACTTTAGGTTGCTTTGTTGCGAGATGCGCACGGGCAACCGTACATTCTCCAGCACCAAAAATTGAAATTTCATCTGTTCTGCGGATGAAACGATAATGGTTAGACCATAAATCAACAACAAATGAATATTTCAAAGTACAAGCATACTTCGGAAGAGCATACAACCACATTAATTGGAACAAGTAATACAAGAAACGTATAAGAACATATCATCTACCTAAACGACGTCACACATGTTATGTCGAATTGTGCATGCAATGTTGAACTCAAAAAAAATGTTACTAAAAATATTTTGAATGTGCGAAAATGCGTGCAGCAATGAGATATGAATGTTCGGCACACATGTTATTTCGAAACGCACGTGCAATGTCGTCAGTGCCCACAGTTATGTGTCGAGACACTGTCACCGAAGCCTGTGTTGACAGATGACTGCACTTGTCTGGCAGGACAGTGCCATCTGTCATTTGTCGAGAATGTCTGCAGCTAACTGTCGGGAACGACAATTCATCTGTCGGGATTCACCCAACTGTCGAGAATTACAACAGCCAAATGTCGGGAACGACAGTTTTCAACAGACACGTGATACGTATGCATGGTGCCCCAACACACAAAGTTGGTACATAACCGCGAATATCCAATCATCACAGTCGAAAAACAATTACAAGTGAAAACAAACACCCTCTAAGTCCCTTTCTATAGGATGTCTCATTACACTGTCGTATTGCAAATGTAGCATATGGGTTCTAAGGTACATATTGTAAAAGAGTTCACATCATAAGTATAATTCATCTAATAACCAATTACAAACTTCTTAAAAAAACTAATTTGTGAACACCGTTGAAGAGTATTAACAACCTAAGCACAAAAGGATGGGTTTGAAATAAAATTAGGGAACTAAACATGTACTCTATAAATGTAAACAATTTGAAAAAAACATATGTCTGCCTGTCTATGTCCACAAACATTGTCCTAACTAATAACATTTTAAACCGAAAATACTTTGTATCAAACCTAAAATTAATGAGGCACGGCCTCAGTTTCCACATTTCTCACCCACTGCTATTGCCAACCACCCACTATCCACAACAAAATATTTTCATTACATCAACCAACAACCCAATGCGAGATACCGTATATCATGTAAATAATTACCACGACAAAT